CACTGGATGCCGTGGTGGCCGCCATATTGGATGCTGCACTGGATGCCAAGTTGGTCGCCATATTGGATGCCACGTTGGTCGCCATATTGGATGCTGCACTGGATGCCATGTTGGTCGCCATATTGGACGCCACGTTGGTCGCCATATTGGATGCCATGTTGGTTGCCATGCTGGCCGCCATATTGGATGCCACGTTAGCCGCCATGCTGGCCACCATATTGGATGCCACGCTGGTTGCCATGCTGGCCGCCATATTGGATGCCATGTTGGCTGCCGCCATGTTGGCTGCCAGGGCCACGCGGGCGGCGTCGGGCCCCAGCGACGCGGGTGACGCGGCCATGGGGACGGGCGACGCGGGCAGCGGTCGCGGCGTCACTTTGCCGTGCATCGCCGAAGCCACCGGGGAGGAAGGCAAACCCAGCAGCTTGGCGGCCGCCAGTGCCCTCGGCAGGCCTGGAGGCGGCGGCGGCGGCGTCATCATTTTCGGTGCGGGTTTGGGGATGAGCGGGGAAGGTTTGGCGGCCGGGAGGTGCGTCACCATCTGCGCCGTCACCATCTGCGCCATCACCACCTGCGCCGTCACCATCTGCGGCGTCACCGCCATCAGCGGCACGGGTTTGGGGAGGGCGGGCGGCGCGGATTTGGGGCTGGGGGACGGCGAGGCATCGTGGCCGGGCGCCGCCGCTCTGGGCTGCGGTTTGGTGTCGGCGCTGGAGCTGCTCTGCGGGGTGAGCGGTGCTTTGTGCGGCTCGCCGGCGGCGTTGGGGGTGGCGGCTCTGTTGTCAGACGGCGCTTTGGGGGCGGTTGGCGGCGCTGCGGTGTCCGTGGCGGCCTTGGGGACGGGCTGCTGCGGCGTCAGCTGCGCGGCGTTGGCCTTAGGGATGATGGGCTGCGGCGGCGCCGGTTTGGTGTCGGCAGTGCTCTTAGGGACGGCCTGCTGCGGCGCTGCCACCGGGGCGGCCCTGGGGACGGCTTGGTGCGGCGCTGCCACCGGCACGCTGTTGGGGGCGGCTTTGGGGCCGGGCTGCTGCGCCGGTGCCGTCAGCGGGGCGGCGTTGGCCCTGTGCGCAGGCTGCTGTGATGGCGGTGTGAGCGGCGCGGTGCTGGCGGTGGCCTTGGGGACGCCCTGCGGTGTCACCGTGACGCTGCTGGCTCTGGGGCTGCCGTGCGGCAGCGGCGCGGTGCCGGTTTTGGTGCCGCCGCTCTGCGTTGGTTCCGTTGGCGGCTTCACGTCGGTGCCGGTCGTGGTGACGATGGGCGCTGCGGCTTTGGGCAGCGGCTGCTGCGGCAGCGCCGGTTTCGTTTCGGTTGTCAGCGGTTTGACATCGGCGGCGCCTTTGGGGGCGCTCTGTGCCGCCGCCGTCACCGGTTTGGCCTCACCGGTGACTTTGGTGACCGTCGGGGTCGGCGCCGTCACTTTGGCCTCGGCGCTGGGTTTGGTGGCCGTCGGTGACGCCGTCGTCGCCACTTTCACATCAGTTGTGCCGGGAGCAGCGGGAGATGCTGCTGTTGCCGGTTTGGCCTCGGCGCTGGGTTTGGTGACGGCGGGGGCTGCCGTGGTCGCCGGTTTGGCCTCTTTGGTGACGGTGGGTGACGCCGCCGTCGCCGGTTTGGGCTCAGTGGTTGCGCAGGGTGCAGCCGGTGCTGCTGTCGGGACCGGCTTGGCTTCGGCGCCGCCTTTGGGGACGGTGGGGGACGCGGCGCTCGGCGCCTTGGCCTCGGTGCCGCCTTTGGGGACGTCCGGTGCGGCCGCTTTGCCGTCGGCGCCGCTCTTGGGGACGGCTGGCAGCGCAGCGTCGCCTTTGGGTGCCCCCGCAGCAGCCTGGCTCTGAGGAGGGGTCCCGGCCGCC